GCTGGTGAGTTAGGGCAGAGATGGAAGAGACGTTATATTACCCTAGAGTTCATAAACATATGTGAGTGTAGTGTGGTGATGGACAGAGATAGAAGAATATTTATATACTTAGAGGCATAGACATATATATGTGTGTTGGGTTATAGACAGAGATAGAAGGATATTTATATACTTAGATGTATATACATGCGTGTGTGTGTGTTGGGTTATGGACAGAGATAGAAGGATATTTATATACTTAAGTGGCATAGACATGTGTGTGTGTGTTGGGTTATACACAGAGATAGAAGGATATTTATATACTTAGATGCATATACATGTGTGTGTGTTGGGTTATGGACAGATAGAAGAATATTTATATACTTAGAGGCATATACATGTGTGTGTATTGGGATATGGACAGAGATAGAAGGATATTTATATACTTAGAGGCATAGGCATATGTGTGTGTGTGTTGGGAGAAGGTTTATATACTTAGATGCATATTCATGTGTGTGTGTGTTGGGTGATGAACATGCTGTCGGCCTGTGGACAGAAGTAGAACGATTCTAGATATATATACATGTGTGTGTGTGATCTGTGCGTGTCTGTGTGTGTCTGTGTAGGTCTACTTATGCGGGTGAGTGAGTGTGTTTACACTTACACCACATCCTCGCACAGCTAGTCCGCTTGTCTTATAATAATAATTAATGTACGGTTTAAATCCTATGAATATAGCTCTCATCTGTATCTGGCACAACAATAGAAAGCTGCGTATAGCTGCCGATTTAGGGTTTTGAAGGTTTAGGGTCAAGGGTTTTCACCCTGGCGTCGTACTATCACGAACTACCAGGCTAGTGGTAAGAGTTAAATTTGCAAAGTGCTATTGATGGTTTGGATGATGCTGGAAATGAACCGGAGCAGTCTCGTACAATTCATACGATATCTGTCACACATACACATACATATACTACTAACTGATCGCTTTATCACAAACTCAAACTCGTATATACCCTTGCATATGCATAGCCTGATAGTCTGACCTGTATCTGTATATCTGTCTGAAGACGATGGGCTGTACGGTATTACACCTTCCATTGCACACAAATTCCAAATGATTTATCTTGGAATATAAAGGCAACCGCGTGAACACCCAAACACGGGACTGTCCTCGAGTTTAAATCTCGGTACACAAGTCATACCAACTAAAGAACGTAAAAATTAAAATATCGTTTACCTATCAATCTGGTGCAAATTCAACCGATCATCACGTTAAAAAGGATCAACACGACATGAAACGTTTAGACTTACAAATGGAAGCACAGATCCGAAGGACAGGAACTGTACGAAGATACCGGCCACAGCCAGCTGCCGCGAGTCCATGCAACCAGCCTATTCGACAAAAAGAGCAAGAATCTCATTGGTCAAATGATAAAAAGTCCTTGGGAGTGGCGGCCTTGGTCAGGGGAACACCACTCATGATGGTGCAATTCAGAATAAGGGCCAGAAACAAGTATCGAACTTGTCGTCTGTAGTTGTCGAAATTGGTTATAAATATATATATATATATATAAATATATATGATATAATATATTGTGTGTGTGTGTGTGTGTGTGTATGTATATATGTATCACTTATATACATGTATATATCACTTGACGATTGTAGCGGTTTGACTGTATGCAAACGCGCAATAGACCTACTAGTCCATTGCACCTCAGCTGTGAATACAGCGCTACAGACACCTTAGAAAGCAACGTGCAGCGTGCAACTACAGTAGCTACAGGTGATGGCATAAGAGAGATGTCAGAACTAATAAATTGTTAGTATATTCGTACATACCACTACAACAAAGAGCTCCACCAGTCACAGTTACAAGGCCATGATCATCACACACAGCCCTGACAGTCATAGATGGTTCTAGTCTAAGCGAACATATCAGCTACACATACGACTACTTGAAAATTCAGGCCTATGCGGGTATATGTATATAAACATATATGTATATATATTTATACATACCACGACAACGATAAGCTCCACAGGCCATAGTTCCGTGACCATGATCATCAGACACGAGCCAGACAGCCACAGATGAGTGCTCCATTCGTAGAAGGCTTCGTGCGACCAACCGGTCCAGTTTGCTTTGAACCATTCCTTCACAACCAGATACACGCCGGCCCACACAGCCATCATCCACCACATGCCGGCACGCGTTATGGCTACACCCACGTAGCCCATGCCCAGGCTGTTGCTGGTGACCTGATCAAGGTAAAGTATGTGGTCAAAGTATGGAAAAAAAGAGACGCGCAGTTTTAGTATATGCGGTCGTGCAGGGATGAAGAGTGTATGTAAGGATGATTAATGGGTCACATTCTCTTAGTTTAGTGCACGCCTATTCGCATACTACCAACTTAAGACAGATTGTTGACAATTATATATTGGAATATGGGAGCAATGAAGTGAGAGACCTCTTCCCACCCTTTTTCTTTGATATAAATTAATATAAACTTTATATACAATGAGAATGCATTACGTAAACGGCTTAGGAGAAGCCTGTAAGTGGAGTTGGTTAGTTATAGGATAAGGTAAGGAATGAGGCGGATAGGCAGCTGACCGAGGGTATATACTATCGAGGGATTGCCTGCGTGTGTGTCATTGGTATCCAGTAAAATATAACTAGCTGATTAAGTGCCTCCCCCAATATATATATATATATTCTGCATTTGCATACATATATTCCATGTATATGAAAATACATCCACCTGTCATCTCAGCTCATACCTATCACAATCGCACATCGTGCCGCACATTGAAACATCTTGGAAATGAGCTGGTTTTTGATTCGTTATTCCCGCCGATATCGTTCCTGCGGGTATATATAGAGGTGTATACATATGCATACATACTACTTAATATTCACTATATCGCCACATGTGAGGAGCTGTTACCAGGAACTCTTACCAGGAACCAGCCCACAACAATCATCCAAAGCGTGGCGAAGATTGTGATGGTCTTGATCATGGCTTGGCCGTCAGCGCCAGTGCCTTGAACGACCTTCTTCAGTGACTCAAACAGAAACATGCCCCACAAACCAGGCAGAGAAAACCTGTGGATACCCCAGGAGGATGATATGAAATATCAATCTAGGGTTTTGGGGCTAGGGTTGTGAATGAACCACGACAAGGATGCAAGTGATGAACAGACAGGTGCAGCACAGACCACTAACTTAACATACCTGCAGTAATCGGCTGCCTGGTCGGCGATAACACTGTCTACTCCAACTAGCGTAAGGACCTGAAGTGCGACGGAGCCAGGTGAATATGGTCAGTAACGATGCATGGGAGCCAAAAAGGACAAATTGCGAATCGTTACTGATGATAGCGTAGATCGGAAACCCTGGCAATCCAACAACTCATAGCGCTATATGGACTATAAACGGACTCGAATTATTTCGCCGTACCAATTGATAGAGAATACTAGCGCGGACTCCTGTCCCAATTGAAGGTGGCGATTGGTCATTGCAGAGCACAATATTGCCACACAGCAGGATGTAGACCGAATAGAACTCGTGACTATATTCACAACTGGGAATAGGTTCGGCTTCAAACCGTACTCTGCTTGACAGATTCAGAAAGGGACGCGTGTTGCCTACGTGATACGGACGCAGCACTCTGAGAAACTAGTGTTTGTGTTCAACAACAGGAACGGGTCTGGATGCATATTATATATTTTAGGTAGACACAGCACATGTGACCGATATTGCTTACCTGGTACGAACACAGCCACAGGAAAGTAATTGGCAATGACATCACCAGCAACAACAGCCATGTTCTCTGCAAGGCTTGAGATTCGTAGCCCTGAGCCTCATTCATAGATATCAACGGGGATGCTAGTGTGTCTGTTGAGAATCAGGATTTCGGATGAGAATGCAGAAAACGGAGTTTAGGATTTTAGAATTCGGGTCTTGAATTTTGGGTTTGTATTCTTTTATATGCAGATGCAAGGTTGACTCTACAAAATCAGCGGCCGGCATATAGTATTCTGGAGTGGCATCAAGTCAAACAGCCCACAAGCGGGCATGCATACATGGCACCTAGATACCAAACACAAGAAGAGCCCGAATCTTTACACAGTGTATATACAGATCATACAATTATGAACAATTGATAGTGTAGATATCTTTAACAACCGAGAATCGTACATTACAGTGACGAAAAACAACAAAAATCGAACAAACAAAAACAGCAACAAAGACAGAAAAATGTACGGTAAATTGAACGCGGATAATGCAAGACCGAAAAGTTACGTCAATAGGATTGGTCAATAACAGCGCGTAAAACAACTAATAAAGATCAATATCAGAAGCAATCTTTACCCAAAATAATCTAGAACAGCAGCAACAGCAGAAACGATCGTTACCTAAAGCGGATATGAGGGATATGCCCCAAGTATTGCCCGTGATGGACATGTACGCTGTGGCGAGTGCTGCACTACCAAAGGCGGCGTGGCCCAGAGTGCCCAGGTATAGCGCCGCGATGACCTCTGCGGGTATAGACATGGTTAAAAATACGACACGGCTCAGCTAAGGCACTTGTGCGTCATTGGAGATATGCCAGGCGTGTATGGTTGCTCAGTCTGGACTACAAAAGGTTGGTAACTTTCTGTGCTGGGTGAGGAATGCCTTCTACTTTCACATTCAGATACTTGAGGGCTAGGGGTATCACAGACGGATAATCAACACACACAATGGAGTCTTGGTTCAGCCTTCAATACCAACCCATTCACTATAATGGAATTTGGGGACATACTATGCAATTGGATGGAGGGATGTGTAAGTGATCAGATGTTTGTGAGGCTATGGACGCAGACTTCGAAGTTCAGACTACCAGAGCATGCAGTGCAAATGAACTCTATGAATATTTGATGCAGAAATATGCGAATATTCAATACAAACGATCCTGGGTCAGCCGCTGGATCCAGCTCATCACAGATAATCTTCGACACGGTCAGTGACGAGGTATGTCTGTACAAATACAGGCATTTTAAAGGCCAAAACTGAACATAGCCTTCAATAAGCAGTACCGATACACCCTGTATTGATACAGGCAAGTGTTTCACTCACTTGAAAGAACAAGTACAATATATTAAATAAACCAAATTTACACACACACACACAAAAACACTCGAGCACAGTGAATGAGGCACGAGCCCGGTCCGAGACGGATTTGTAAGTTCGCGATAAAAGATTTACAGCAAATGCATATACCAACAACAGCCAAACACACTTTCTGAGAAACTTGTTGGGCCCAAGGTGCATCAGTAAGTTTAGGACAATAAGCTTAAGACATATGGGCAAATAATCAACCACGCACAGAAATAAAGTGCTTACTAAAAGACAGGATGAACCAAAAAAATTGATACGTACTTACGACGTATGTATAAGCACCGTTAGTAAAGGACGTACCAGGCAAAGCAGATCATTACGTTCGAACCATTGAATTTACTACGTGTACGTACACCATCCACAGCCAAGCACAGTAAATAAACCATATACCAGGCAAAGCGGATCAGCAAGTTTGCAATATTGAATATATGACATATACGGACATTAAAAACGCAAAAGATAGTTAAGGGGGCACTCACCAGGTCCCAGGTGGATCAGTATATTCGCAGCATGCGGAACAGAGAGTACCAGCGTTTCTTGGAGGTGATTAAGCCACCCATGGACCTCGTCGTAGTTGTCGCTATCGGCGTCCGAGTCCTCAGTTATTCTGCATGATTTTAGGTTTTAGGGTTTTAGTATATAAATATAAATATATATATAAATATATATATATAAATATATATATATATATATATAT